CTGTAGAAAATGGTGCCTAGTTACCATTTCGAAATGGGGAGCTATTATATTCTCTGAAATATCATGATAGCTATACGAGTAGATTGATGGATAAATGGATGGATAGAGAGATAGATGGAAGGATGGATAGGCGGAGAGGTAGATGAATAAATTAATTAATATACAGATAGATGGCTAGAAGGATAAATAGATTGAGAGATAAATGAATAGATGGGATTTATAGATGGATAAATAGATGAGTGGATGAATAGATGGATATATTGATTGACAGATAGATGAGTAGATGAATTGACCATTAAACTTTTTAAATTACATCGGGTTTAACTCTTAGATGTCACGCAAATTTTGTCAGGGCCTATCTGTCAGTCCTTGACAGTGGGTGTCAGATCTTGACAGTGCATTACAGTGCCTGTCAACGCTTGACAGTGCCTGACGGAGTCTCACAGTCCCCAAGCAGCTTAACAAAGTGCACAAACTCGCCCCTCTCCCCCCTGACAGTTCATTCCTCTCATAATTTAACATTAATCACGAATATAATGATAATTGATTTTCTGACAAATTTAGTATTTCAGTTTCCTGTATCATGTGTCCGCCTGTAAAAGCTTCCTGTCCCTTGTTTCGTGATGACGATCGACCTTCACGTTGTGATACGTGAAGGTCAACCTTTGTTATGTATTCATAGGGTGTGTGAAATGCGTTCTCACCAATTTTTATTTTATTTTTACGTGAGTTCGAGGTTTTGTGTTAATAAAACTTTATTATGTTAGTCTGAGATGTATTATTAAGGACTGATTTTGCACAGTGATTGATCTATTATTTAGATCTGGTTTGAGTTAAAATAACATTGTTTAGGTCTATATGCAGGTGATTAGTCACAAAAACGGGGCTGAAGATATAATGACTAAACTACAAACACATCAAGATTGAGAAACGACGACGTTTCGGTCCATCTTGGACCATTATCAAGACACACGACGTGCTAATGGTCCAAGACGGACGGAAACGTCGTCGAATCTTAATCTTCCTGTGTGTGTGTGTTGTGTCTCACACGAAGCTGTTTTAACAGTCATCACGTTACATTATCCATGTAAGACGTGAGAGAAGACGTAACTGACACACAAATTTGATTATCACATAACAGCTTCAGATTAGAGACTAATAAATATAATCAGAAAACACATAACTTTTGATATTACAATATAACAGCACAGTGAACCCCTCACTGACACGGAGCGTCACTGAAGCGTCACTGAAGCGTCACGGAGCGTTCTATTGTTACTTACAAAATAGCTGAACTTTAACAGAATTTCTCCCTTGGATAAATCAATGACATAGTCCGTCAAGCGTACAAAGAAATCTATGTCCACGAAGGTCAACTTACAATTAACTTACGGTTAACGGTCAACTTACAATTAACTTACGGTTAACGGTCAACTTACAATTAACCTCCCGCTGATAAGTAGCAATCAGAGGGGCGGTGACGTCGTTATTGGAGGCCCGACAGGTGAAGGGTGAAGTGAGGTCCCTCCTTGTGGCAGGAACCTCGAGATCATTGTAGGCAATGTGACCCTCACCCGTCGTGCTGTTGGAGTCGACCGCCTGACCGTCCTGCAGCCACACTACCCGAGCCAAGGGCGTCCCTGGGGGACACATGGAGGACACATGAGGACACATGAGGACACATACACGTGAATATTCCATCGACTTCTGACCGTGTTATGTGGAAGGAGACTTAGGATTAGACAGAGGGTAGGAGGAGGCAGGTATATGCTCTGAGTGGCGGTAGAAGGAGGCAGGTGTGTGCCCTGAGTGGCGGTAGGAAGAGGCAGATGTGTGTGTGCTCTGAGTGACGGGAGAAGGAGGCAGGTGTGTGTGCTCTGAGTGGCGGTAGGAGGAGACAGATGTGTGTGCTCTGAGTGGCGGTAGGAGGAGACAGGTGTGTGTGCTCTGAGTGACGGTAGGAGGAGACAGGTGTGTGTGCTCTGAGTGACGGTAGGAAGAGGCAGATGTGTGTGCTCTGAGTGACGGTAGGAAGAGGCAGATGTGTGTGCTCTGAGTGACGGTAGGAAGAGGCAGATGTGTGTGTGCTCAGATTGACGGGAGAAGGAGGCAGATGTGTGTGCTCTGAGTGACGGTAGGAAGAGGCAGATGTGTGTGCTCTGAGTGACGGTAGGAAGAGGCAGATGTGTGTGCTCTGAGTGACGGTAGGAAGAGGCAGATGTGTGTGCTCTGAGTGGCGGAACTCGGTGTCCACTAATCACAATGGCCACTCTGGAAATTTAGCTAATTACAGGCAAAAATATGAGACACAGACGCGTAAAGTTTTATTTCATACGAAGAAAAAACTGCATAACAAACAAAACAAAAATATTCCTGGTTCATTTAATATGATACACCAAATATCGCTGTACAGATGTCATTGGCACAGTGTCAATTGACACTCATTTATCTTCTTCCAACCCTGATCCGACCATGTTAGGCACGTACCCTTCAGGAATCAGGGTGCAAAGTTGGCTGAGGCCAGCTTCAGGCATCTGGCCCTCCAACTAGGACAGAAAGACAAGCACAGATGTTCTGATATACAAGTATACTGTAGATATGCATGCAAGTTATCAAAAGTGAAAATATTAAAATAATTTAAGCACTTCGTCCTTCTAGGGGCATTTGTTTTTAGAAACAAAATGAGAACCCACCCAGAGCCAAGGTGAGAAGAGAGAATCAACAGATATTACATGGTAAGCATTAATCAACAAATTAATAATAATTATATTAAGGTTCAGAAACAGTTGCGAAATTCCACACTACATATTTTTACACATTAAAGAAACACAGTGGATTAGAAAGATAAACATAAGCGTTCATTAACCAGCTAAACGAAAGGCCTCACATATGAAATTAGTCAAAACAAGAGAATGCAAATTAATTATTATTATGATTAATTAATTGAATGATTAATTATTATTAAATGCCAGATGGAGGGAACTATCTGGAGAAAGTGTTTAGCCATCACGACTATAGAGCCCATGGAAGAGGTCAGGATAATCATTTGGGGGATGGAACGAGGGAAAGATATGGTGGCCAACCACTTGAACGGTCGGGGGATTGAACGCCGACCTGCATGAAGCGAGACCGTCGCTCTACCATCCAGCCTAAGTGGTTGGATGTTTCTAAAATAAATTAAAATATGTGAAATGCAATCTTACAATCAATTTACAATCTCTTACAATGTCTCAACGTCGGAACGGAAGGAAGAAGTCTTGCCAGACGTTAAGGATTTACATTAAACTTAGAAACATCTTTTGTAAACCATGAATTAATGGATTTTAAGCACCCTCCAGAGCTTATATATATATAAAGTAAGTTGACCAGACCACACACTAGAAGATGAAGGGACGACGACGTTTCGGTCCGTCCTGGACCATTCTCAAGTCGATTGTGTCTCAAGTCGATCACAATCGACTTGAGAATGGTCCAGGACGGACCGAAACGTCGTCGTCCCTTCAACTTCTAGTGTGTGGTCTAGTTAACATACGTCACCCACGTTATTGTGACTCATCGCCTGCATATAACGTAATATAATTATATCTAATTACACTTGATTCAATCATGTTTCATACACGATCTAGCGGAATCCAAGACCAGTCAACAATGAGACCAAGAAGACGGAACAAGAACACACTTGAAGCTCTCCAATGTGGCAGAGACTTCGACACAATACTGTGATCTGTGCCAAGAAGCAGCACACAGTGAGGGCAAGTCTCTGTCGCCCTCTTGAGAAGCACAAGTACGTAGATATAATGTAGATATGTAGATATAAATGTAGATATAAACCTCGAAGATGTGTAAAGCTCTATTCTTGAGAATCGACTTGAGAATGGTCCAGGACGGACCGAAACGTCGTCGTCCCTTCAATTTCTAGTGTGTGGTCTGGTCAACATACTTCAGCCACGTTATTGTGACTCATCGCCTGCACAAGTACGGTTCCCAGACAGTATATAGCGCCCCCAGAACACTGGCCACACCCATTCTTAAAGGTGACGAGCAAACCCGAAAGTCCAGCAGGTTTGGTGCAGTCCAAACCTGCCAGGTTCTTGAAACTTTAGCTCCTTGACGTCGATAACGTAATTATTTTTATTATGACGAAGCAATACCCGGTGTGCTTCAGTTATCTTCTTCTCCCTCCTGTATATAAATCATTGTTTGCTCTGCTATCATGCTAACGTTGTTCATCATGGTTATCCTGCGACTGCGGGGAGGAGGTGTTCTCTCAGAGGGGCGTATGGTAACGCGTATGGCAGCCAGCAACACCCACCAGCTCTCTCTCTCGTAAACATTTTACGACCTGTACTTCATTAGGCGATAAAGCTGAGCCCCGGAGCACACGCCACAGTGGTAAATGTCGGACAGGGTGGCCACCTGATGCTTCCTAGTCAGGTGCCTCTCACCACACACACACACACACACACACACACACACACACACACACACACACACACACACACACACACACACACATACACACACACACACGTGGACGTTTACTGGTGAAAACTATTTAGCTTGAGTTGTGAGGTGTGTCAGAATAGCGTCTGAGACTCGTTGCTTAGCTCCTGCTCCAAGAGCAAGGCAGGGGCAAAGCAAGGGCGAGGCAGGGACGAGGCAGGGGCAAGGCAGAGGCAAGGCAGGGGCAAGGCAGGGAGGCAAGGCAGGGACCAGCAAGGTGTCAGCTGGCAGAGGTAGAGACAGTGTGTTTATGTGTGTGTGTGTGTGTGAGCTTCCAACTCAGAAAATCTGAGTGGATTGCATTGCAGGTGTGCATTTATCGCATGCAAACAATCGTTATATATACATCACTTTCACGTTGCAAAATCTGCTAATTGGATAATGAAAATCTCTCCGCAATGTCCGCATGACACAAATGGCAAATACACAAAAATTTACTTGTGAATAAAGTGTGATTTTTAAATTATTCGAATATTATAAAACAAAAAAAACAAAAGTTAAGGTATAATCTCCCTCTGTGGCACCCGTGTGGCACTTACTATTGCAGAGTGCCTCGCTGGGCACCTATTGTAGAGTGCCTCTTTCGGACTCCTCTGAACCATCCTCTTTCTTAAAATTGTTTACTTCCACTAATTTGACTTCTAGGGTATCGTTCTGCACTGCCTCAAGGTAGTTTTCTCTTGGCCCTCCTCTATGATTTAGAACCTTTTCTTCCCTCTATTGCCTTTTCCAAGACCCCCTCTTTTGTGACCTTCCTTGCTCTGCCTCTCTTATGACCCTCTCACTTCCTCTGGTCTAGTTAGGAAACTCCATTCTGACATTCTGCATTCTGTTTGTTTAGTAATCTTTTATTTCCTGTAGCAATCTCCCTGATTGACGTCTGCTACTCTGTGCAGCAGATTAGCCTCGTATGAGACGTTTTCTGTATTGGCTGTCAGCCATTACGTCACTCAAACAGTCTTATCCTTCATCATACGAGGGGGGCCTCGTAGCCTGGTGGATAGCGCGCAGGACTCGTAATTCTGTGGCGCGGGTTCGATTCCCGCACGAGGCAGAAACAAATGGGCAAAGTTTCTTTCACCCTGAATGCCCCTGTTACCTAGCAGTAAATAGGTACCTGGGAGTTAGTCAGCTGTCACGGGCTGCTTCCTGGGGGTGGAGGCCTGGTCGAGGACCGGGCCGCGGGGACACTAAAGCCCCGAAATCATCTCAAGAAGAGAGGAAGATCATCCTAACCGTCTTCGTTCTCTAAAAGACCTAGAGGTTCGTCTTCACACACGTGGGGTCCAAGGTTCGAGACCCATACAGGCCAGGTTGACCAGACCACACACTAGAAGGTGAAGGGACGACGACGACGACGTTTCGGTCTGTCCTGGACCATTCTCAAGTCGATTATGAGTCAAGTCGAGGGCAGGTGAATGGAATTTTCTTTCTCTCATTATATTAATTCGATTCTGAAAATCTTTGCCTTCGCTATTTGAAGGCTCTTTATTTTGTGATAAATCCCATGTTGCTAAGGTGGTGTGTTAATATTTTGTCAGTCAATATTATTTTGTGCCATCAAGGTATAGAGTAATAAAGGAAGGGATCTGATGAAAAAGCTAGAGGCCATAATTTCTGGTCAAATTCACGCCCAACCACTTGGGCTGGACGGTAGAGCGACGGTCTCGCTTCATGCATGTCGGCGTTCAATCCTCCGACCTTCCCAAGAGGTTAGGCACCATTCCCCCCCCCCTTTTACCCGGTCCCATCCCAAATCCTTATCCTGACCCCTTACCCAGTGCTACATAGTCGTGATGGCTTGGCCCTTTCTAATGATAGTTCCCTTCCCTTGTCAAAGGTTCTGCAATAATTATGAATGGAGCTTGCCTTGACTGCGGGCTAGCGTTCCGTTGACAACGTCCCTAATTCCAATTTAACCCATTCCCTTCACCCACAATGCAATAGATCCTCTTCTCCCCGTACTGGGACCTACATACACGTGTGTGTAACGCGCCTTACTTGTTCTCGCAAATATGATCTGAGTTTCTTTTCAATGGTTAATCAGATGCTTCCCTCAGCAAAGTGTACTATCATAAAGGGAATGTGCTTCTGATGTGGTATTACAGCCGCTGTTGCTCTGGTTATGTCTCTTTAA